AGTATGATCTAAATTATGATATCCCAAATGGATTATCTTGCACTTCGTATAATAAGACATCATTTTCCAATTACTTGTTCAATTAAACAATTGTCACATTATATAGCACTTCAACATCCACAATACAGTTAGAGATGCCCAAGAGTTTGTTGTCCATAAACTAGAAAATTTACTAATTATAACCCCATCAAGATCATCAAGAAAACAGTAAACACTAAATGTCCAAGCACTGACCTCAGAGCCACTCGACTGGTAACACGAGTCCAGTTTAACTAGATTCCATTAATAACAACCTTGGACCTTATACCCAACCACTCTACAATCCAAGTAACTAATCTTACCCCAACCTAAATTGATGATTTTTTTAGCTAATTTTTTGTGTTAAACTTTACCACAAGCTCTTTGAAAATATAAGTACATCTAGCACCCACCCTTTATATCATCCAGATAACTTTTTTCAATGATGTTATGGGTTAACAGATTAGTAAAGCATGATCACCCTTTAGTGAATCCATGTTGACTTTATTTAATGACATCAAATTTTACAAGGTGAGTTATTTTTAACATACGAGAATTTTTTCCCACTGCAGAATTAATACCAAATAGTCTGCAACTTTCACCCCTCTCCAACCCTCAGGCACCTACCAGAAATTAAAGAAAGAAGCTCACATAATTGTTTTTGACCTCCTTTAAAACCCTGAAAGGAACACTATCTAGTCCTGGTGCTTTATCTACTTTAACCAATCAGTCCTTCTTCTTAACACACCAAGGAATTTATATCAACATAATCCTGTCAATCCTAATATTTTCCATACAGTGTTCAGGGTCAGGAACGTTGCTAACATCCTCTCTTGTAATAAGAAAAGAAATAAAAACAATTAAAAGCTCAGCTATCTAATATTCTTCAACAAAAACATTATCTTCAGCACTCATGTGTCCAATCAATATTAACATTTTGCTTACCCTTCATTTACTTAAGTCTTTTAACATCATCAGTCAACTGGTTCTTTCAAGTCCTTTCTAATTTTAACATCATCAGTCAGCTGGTTCTTTCAAGTCCTTTCTAATTTTAACATCATCAGTCAGCTGGTTCTTTCAAGTCCTTTCTAATTTTAACATCATCAGTCAGCTGGTTATTTCAAGTCCTTTCTAATTTTAACATCATCAGTCAGTTGGTTCTTTCAAGTCCTTTCTAATTTTAACATCATCAGTCAGTTGGTTCTTTCAAGTCCTTTCTAATTTTAACCAAATCCCCAGCTTTTCCATAGTTTTGTAAATCTTCAGATCTGTCAATTAAAACCTCTAAATTTTATGGTAAGCATTTATCCTTGGTTTTCTTCTTTGTGTCTTTGGTAAACCAATTAGGCTTCAGCTTTGCCATTATTCTTTTCTTCTTTTTAGGAGCATGCATACCTTGAATTAAAAGCAATTTATAACTCAAAATTCTCCATATTGCCTTTCAACTCATTATTCCAACCCATTAATGATCAAACTTGTGTCAAAACTGAATATCTTAAAATCAGGAAGAAATATTTTATTTCTTTTTATCCCAACAAAAATTAAACCTAATTATACAATGATCATTCTTCCTCAAATGTTCCCTCACTTCAACTCTTACAACCATGTCTTCATTAGTGATTACCAGTGTAAAGTGGAATCTCCTCCTAGTTGTCTTTGTGACCTATTGGTACAGAAAATCATGTCTTCATTAGTAGTTACCAGTGTTTTTCTGTACCAATAGGTCACAAAGACAACTAGGAGGAGATTCCACTTTTCATGTCTTCATTAGTAGTTACCAGTGTAAAGTGGAATCTCCTCCTAGTTGTCTTTGTGACCATTCAGTACAGAAAACCATGTCTTTATTAGTGATTACCAGTGTAAAGTGGCATCTCCTCCTGGTTGTCTTTGTGACCATTCAGTACAGAAAACCATGTCTTCATTAGTGATTACCAGTGTAAAGTGGCATCTCCTCCTGGTTGTCCTGAATCAAATCAAGAAATCTCTCTTCCCTCACTCTCCAACTTCATACAGTTCCGGTTAAAGTACCATAATTATTGCATCAGTAGAGCAAATTCTAGTCCTATTCTTTTAATTTTCCCCACTACAAACAACCTTATTAGTATACTCAACATGTCTCTTACTATTGGTCCATCTAGACACTCTTACACACTTTACAAAAATTAAAGTCAATTCTTATCATTCAGATGTTTATCAACCCTTCCCTTAAACTCCCTCAAGTTTACTGCATCCAACACATTTGAAGACAATGCATACTAAAAGCCAACCACCCTGTTAGAAAAACAAAAATGTCTAGGCTAAAGATGACTCCCACTCTACCAAAATTTATATTTATATCAGAGACTGATACCTTGACATTATCCAAAATTACCATTATAGTCCTAAAGTTATTACTACTATGCAGGCTGGTAGGTCCAACACACACCTCCTCATCTTCTCCCAAAGACACCTTAACTCTAACTCTACCAAATTACTGTCTTGCTTCTTTGATTTCTGTTCCTAATCTGCCATTTTCTCACTTTAATAATTCAAATGACAGAATTTTGTTTTAATATAGTAGTAAATGGTTAAAACAGCTGACTGTGTAAATCAGTTTTATTTAAATGAAAAACCTTAGGACTCTTCATGCTACTTGAGGAATATATTTTAAACAGAGCATAAAAAATAAGCAAATAATGAAATTAATAATATTAACACTGAATGCAGTGTTGATAAAGTAACTTGCTGATTATGGGTAGAAGACACTTCTATAAAAGCTCAAAAGTCCTATTCTTACATAATTTGTAACACCAAATAACAAAAATGGGAGAAGGCTAGATCAGATACAGGTCCCACTCTGATATAATTCGTAACACCAAACAACAGAGCTTAGTTAGTGTATTAAACCACCCTTGTCCAATGTACTTTATGATTCCATCCTGCACTTGTAGGGTACAGCTTGTAATGAATTCATTGCTCATGGCATGATGATGTTGAGACCATAAATGTTGATCAAGAAACAAAGGAGGAACAATTAGAAATTTGAACCCTACACTATATATCTATATAAAGAGCAGTTGAAATATTCACAAAACTAAAAAAATGCTTATACAGTAAATAAAAAACAAAACAATTTTTCACATAATATTACGAGATGTTCTCAAAGATCATTAATTATGAAATGATAGCTTCCTAAATATATTTAGGTTGCATAATTTCCTCAATTAACCAACAACCTGCTAAGTTTACTTCTCTTTAACATCACAATGTTTAGGGACAACAAGGGACCTACTGGTCCATCTTGACTGTCCCATCCCCTAAACTAAGTTAAAACTCTCAAATAAATATACTGAAAAAAATAAATAAAATAATAATCTTAAAGCTAGCCCGTATCATTCATATAGTTATCAAGCTTTCTCTTAATCTCACTTAAAGTTACTGCTTCCACAACATATTTTTACAACAACATAAATCACGTGATGCTGGTGGCACATTTGGGGCTGGTAGAGTACGTGATGAGTTTCTCGAACTATTGGGGAAGTCGGAGTTTGTTCAAGATGCCCTCTTTGCTAGTATATAAGCCTGGCAGAGAAAGCCAGCGGATATAAATGAATGAAGAGAGAGCAGTAGTTACTTTGAGTTCCATGTAATTTACGATTCTGTTGGATTCGAGCTAGTGAGCCGTAAAGTGTGTGTTTTGCACTCGTCGAGAGCGAAGTTATCAAAATTGTGAATCACTGTGATTTATAGCGTGTATGTATTATAAAAGTAGTTAAGTTTAAAGTGACGTGAAATGAACTGACTGTGGAACTACTGTGTACTAAAAGTTTGTATCGTGGAAAAATAAACTGGTTTAATCAAGAAAGGACTTGTATCATTTAAGATCCTCGGAAAGAATTTCTACTGGAAACAAACAAATAAGCAGATACGTAATAAATTGGTGTCAAAGAGTGGGATGGAAAAAAAAAGAAAGAAAAAAGATGGAAACGAGAAGTGGTAAATCAAACTACAACTTAGCAGATTTGATGGCAGCAATACAAGAACGGAAAATGAAACAAGAAGAGAGACTACAGCAGTGGTTGGATGAGAAAAAAAAAGATACAAGAAGAGAGACTACAGCAGTGGTTGGAGGAGAAAAAAAAAAGATACAAGAAGAGAGATTACTGCAGTGGTTGGAGAAGAAAGAAAATAAACAAGAAGAGAGATTACAGCAGTTGTTACAGGAAAAAGAAAATAAACAAGAAGAGAGGCTGCAGCAGTGGTTGGAGGAGAAAGAAAATAAACAAGAAGAGAGACTACAGAAGTGGTTGGAGAAGAAAGAAAATAAACATGAAAACAAACTACAGCAGTGGCAAGAAAACCAGCACCAGTGGCAACTGGAACAAGAAAAGAGAGTACAACATCAGCATGAAGTACAAATGGAAAATATTAGTAAGTTATAAAGTGAATTAAATACATTAAAGGACAATTTACTGTTTTTTACACAGGGAGGATATATTAGCCATGGACCTAATCAGCCCCAGACAATAGGAAGCCCCTTCCAGACCCTGCAGCTAAACCTTAATGTAGACATCTCCTGTCCTGCCAAAAGTCACATTCCAGACATGAGTGTCAGCAATAGGGGTGATCTAATATGAAGGAAGCCACCATGCGAAGCATATTGAGGACAATTTGAGCTCCTGGCAGAAATGAATGGATGGATGTAGGAGCAGAAAACAGTGTATCTGGCAATGAGCTTGAAGGGACAACCACTGGAAATACTTGGACAGCTGTCAGCAGACGACATGCACGACTATAGAGCACTGGTAGGTGCTCTAGAAATCAGGTATGGAACTCAAAATCAGTCCGAAGTCTACAGGGCTAGGTTTAGGACTAGAGTCTGTGCTAAAGGGGAGAGCCTGCAGAAGCTGGCATAGGATTTGGAAAGTACGGCACACAAGGCCTACCCAACTGCACCACCTGATGTCTTCAAGCTGTTGCTTAGGGATCAGTTTGTAGATGCCTTGGACAGTCCACAACTGAAGATACAGATAAAGCAAGCATACCCTCTACTATGCAAGATGCAATGGCCAGAGCTTTTGAATTCCAATCCTATGTTAAGTCCAGCACAGAGGTACCAAGGTTGGTATAGTCATCAGGATTCAAGGCCAGAAAAGCTTTCAGAGAGGTTTGAGGAACTTTGCTGGCACTGTAACAAACCTGGGCACAAGAAAGCTCAATGCTGGAAACTTCAACACAGGGAAGATGCCACGGCAGGAAAGGCTGCTACCCAGAAAGGTTGTTGGAACTGTGGAGAGCAAGGACATATGAAGAGCCAGTGTAAGAAGAATACTACCAATAAGTCAGCCTTGGGGAAACCAGTAGTGGATGGTGTTGAGAGACACCCACCAACACCCTTCGTGAAAGTCCCAACAGCTGAGTGTAAAATGGCAAGCATACATAGTGTCTACGTGACAGGAAAGCTGGATAGACAAAGGTACAACTTTGTCATAAATTCTGCATCTCAGCAAACCCTTGTGAGCATCAAGGTGCTGGATCACAAAGGAGTACCAGAAGCCATACAGAAGCTCTGTGGTGTGACAGGACATTATGCAAGGTTGTGGGAACCAGTGTGGGTAACTATTGAGCTTGTGGGCATGAAGGACAAAGTATACTTGGCTGACATTGAAGACCAATGCATATTAGGGTTGAAATACTTACTACTGAGGAAGTGTGTAGTTAACTTTAACAAATGACGTTTAGGAACAACAAAGGCCAAATTCCGGTAAATGCTGCTGCATCTGTTGAATTGCATGTCACAGCACTTAAATCAACTACAATACCCCTGATGTCAAAGAAGATAATTTGGGGTAGAATAAAAGAACAGCACAAAGGAAGCCCGATGCTTGTAGACGCAGTGGAAGAC